CACACACACACACACACACACACACACACACACACACACACACACACCTCTCTCCTCAGCAGGGTTTTGTGTATCTACCCACAGCCACGTACTTTAATCACAGCAGGCATGTGCGTGATGAAGGGGGACTGTGTGCACGCTGCTCGCTGTGGGTCATTTTCATTATGTGCCTGATTATTTATGTCATGTTATCCAATCTTTCCCTAGCAGTCACACATATATGCACAAGCCTGAGCACACACAGAAACAATCAATGTATCAGGAGGAAAGACTTTGCACACAAAACACACACATAATCCCAATGAAAGGCTCTGGTTGTAATGAGGGGGGAGGTAGAGTGGGCAGCATACTCACAGACTTTCATCAGGAGACAGGCTATCCGTGAAGAATGAACAATTCTGGCTCTCCATTTCAGCCAATCTAAAGATAAATATATACACACACACACACACACACACGCACAAAAGAGACAAAAAGAGAAATACAAGAGAGTGGATGAGTCAGAGCAAATGCAGAAAAAAGCAAAAGCAACATATTGATATTATCAACTGTGGAGGCTGAAATCTTCCCCACCGAGAGAAGGCCGGAGAGCACGCTCCACTGTTGTTTTACAGTAGAGTTGCTTCTTAATAAATCTACCATATACTGGTTTACAATTAAAAGTATTTAATCCTACTGAAGCTAATACAATTACAGAATGAAGTACACTACTAACAGAATATATAATAATATGATCCGCGCGGAAAAGCTATTCACTCGCGACTCAGCCTAAAAACACAGATGTTTCCACGCTGAGAGCCGAGCAAGAAGAGAGCGAATAGCCCTTCCAGCACTTCCTCATACAGTTTGAAATCCCCCCCCTTTTGTCCATCTTAATTCCTATTGGCTAATTTCAGTTGCCTCCTCCTGGCGTCAGGCTTTCAAAAACCCTCGCGCGGGTACAACCTGCAAATGTCTGTCTAGAAGTCTGACTTCCCCTTGGCTATTCTTCACAGTTTAATACATTCAATGACTGTCTTTTATGGCTTAACACTCCTACGATAAACATTCTATATAAAGATAAGGATTTGCAACTTTTGGCAAAAACCTTCACAAGTTTCACAAACAAATATAAAGGTGCTACAAATTCTACTAAGATACACTTCTAACTACAAAACACTTCTAACTACAAATTCTAAAACACTTACAATTATGAATCTTCTAATTATGTATTCCAAAACACTTCTAATTATGATTTCTTAATTATGAATCATTAAACACTTCTATTGGAATTTCTTAAAACACACTTCTAAACCCCAAATTTCCTACACAACCACTGGGGAGTGAAGATAAAATAAAAAATCAGTACAGTTTAGCTTTTAGATAGTGTGAATAAGACCATGGGCTTTTAGAAATATGGACTGCAACTGTACACAAACATCTGACTGACACGAATGCAGAGGGGTAGAAATTTTACTCGCCATAGAGTTCGAGCTATACAAGTGTGCACAAGGAGGGGAGGATGAAATTCTGATGAAATGCTGTGCACTGTCTATCAGCAATAAAAAGGTAAAAATATGCTTCTATCCAGCACCACGGACAGCAACTGTTGGTGTGTGTGAGGAAGCAGCAAGCGAGTCGCTGTGTGGCTTTACAGGACCAAGGACAGCGCCTCTAGTTCTGCATTATGTCCTGCTGACTGTCCGTGGACAGCTGCACTGTGCATGCTGCTCTGTAAGCTGTTCCACTACTATAACCCCCAAAAGAATGCTGCAGTAGAGAGAAAATTGGAAAAATACATGGTGCTTTTATTGTTTTAGGTTTGATGGCATAAATAAAGAAAAACACCATGAGACACTGAACTGCTCCCAATGGTTCGGCCAGTGCCTTACATGATAGCTTGGTGCCATCGGTGTACGCGGGTGTGTGTGTGTGTGTGTGTGTGTGTGTGTGAATAAGAGGAACATTTTAAAGCACTTTACATAAATGAAGTAAATTTACTAAATAAAAAGAGAAATAAATTGGATAAACACAAACACAACATTCAGACTATGGCGAGAGTTTAGCATATGCACTGTATATATTGGCTTCTCCATATTAAAAAGAATGTGAAGTAAACAAAAGCAGTCACGCACTTAAACTACCCCCACAATATTATGTTGTCGTACACTTACTTAAAGTGTGAAACTACTTTTCTATACTACAGTTGAAATCTTAGTTGTTTGCACCTTGCTTATTCTGGCTGTGCAGCTGCATTTATTTGTTGTTTCATTGCTATAACACCAATAATGTATTAAGAGACAGTTGTAAACAATTATTACAACAATTATCAGCAGTAAAGCATGTATCGGTAACCGTGTATTAACACTACACTCTTGCTTCCTCTCGAGGGAAAAACCTTTACATCTCCTACCCACATGTACAGCTTCCACCTGAATGCACAAGGCCACCCGTTCTCTGACACCCTTTAAAAAAGAAATGTAGGACGATATGTTCCAAAGAAGAGGCAGGTGGAGTGAAAGTGGGTACACCACAAAGGTAATTCATAAAATACTGCTGCAGTCCTCTGAATGTGACACGCTAATGATATGTAGTAGTGTTGGATGATCAAAGGGTGAGTTTTTCCTTCAAGTAAGAGTGTAGAGAACCAAACCACTGATGTTAATGTGGCTGCCCACATATATACATGCATACATACACACACACAAACATGTGCTACATGAAAGCATCAGTCTTAAATCTACGCTGCAGCATTCTCAGTACACACATGCACACAACACGCTCCATGCTGCATCATCTTTCGCAGAGTGTCGTCAGCTGAAGGGCGGAAGGAGGAGGGGTGAGTGATGTAGAGGCTGTCAGGGACATCCACATCACATCCTATCTCTCTCCAGAGTCTGATGACACCATAAAATTGTGAATTTTAGGATTTATCCATGTCCTGTTCAGGGGGTCCGGCCTGTGAACCTGACCACCCGTAATTCAACCCGGAACACTGTTCATCAGGAAGCCTTCACAAACCTGGAGTCTCAGTCAGGGACAACAGCAAATGAGTAATGAAAGGGTAGAAAGTAATAGGAAATAGTAGCATGGGTATGTGGGTGCCTTGTGCACACATTTGTGTTTAGCATCCTGCATGAATGTAAATGGATGTGAGAGGAAATGAGAAACGGGAGAGAGAGAGAGAGAGAGAGAGAGAGAGTGAGAGAGAGAGAGAGAGAGAGAGAAGAAATCCTAACAGAGTTCTAAGAGGTTTTTCAGTATTTTCCTCCCATCTATGCTCTATAAGATATCGAAGCAGCGCTGATGAAAGGAATGAACTCTACTCCTGCATCAATACGGGGGGGGGGGGGGCAAACAAAGAGAGAGATGATTAGGAGACAGAGGCAGTCTCAGTGTTTGACATGTCTGCAAATCTGGCTTTTCTAACCCCAAACATCAAATATGTTATCTCCCTTGAGATGACTGGAGACTGCATTATTGCCATGGATTAACACATCCTTTTTTGGATGAAGGGCACTTTGACACACACACACACCCACACACACAGAAACACACACACACACACACCTGTCTAATATGTCATCAGAAGGGAAAGAATTTCCGACACCGACCTGCCAGTGATGACACCCAGTATTTTGACATTGCCTTGACTTTCCATTAGGGTTCAAAGTGAGCGGAGAGTTACGAATAATATGGGGAATGAATTCAAATAAGGAATAAGAGACAGACAGACTACTCTGTCTCCTCTTATTATGATAGTGCTCAGATCATGATGGAATAAGCAGAGCAAACTCAGTCAATACTCATTCATTTTGAGCCAGTATAATGTCTCTTTTGGCATGCAGGATCAAAGTAGTACTGGTCAATGAACTAAACATGGAAAGGGGTCAAGATAAAAACTAGAATTGCTGCCTAGTGGTTGTATGCCTCTGTCATGTTGCAGTTTACATTCATGTCTGAGCAAAATGTCATCACTTCATCATTTTATTCTGTCGAATGCCTCTCGTTCAACCCTTCACTCACACACCAATGGCAGCAAACTACCGAGCCAGGCGCTGGCCTAACTATCCGGAGCAGTATTGACATGTCTTGTCGTGCGGAACCAGGGATCAAACCGCTGACCCTGTGATTAGCGGCTGATTAAGGCCGAACAAAAACTACCACCGAATTGGATCAAACTGCCTTATGTCTCAGTAAAAGCTTCACAGGAAAGCCATTTAATAAAGTAACATACATACTATTAAATATACATATATTTAATGAATTCAATGAATGCTTAATTACACAGTTACAATATTCACCCATTAACAAGTAAGTTTAAAGGATAAGTCTGGTGATAGTGTATTATTCTAACAAATTATACTTCTGTGCCATTGTTGTCCAACATTATTAAAAACACATCAATGAGCCGGACATGTTTCTTCATAATTTACAGTTAATCCAATTGACAAAAATACTCGCTAGTGCACCAGATCTGTGGCTGAAAACAGTATTTACTTCTGTTTGAGTAACATTTGCTAAAGCGACAGCTGTTATGCCCAGGAAATATTGAAAGCATCTATTCACAACCCGTTTTTAAAGATTTAGTAGTAAAGAATGGGCTTGAGGCCGTGAGACAGACAGGTAGGCATTGGTCTCTCACAAAACATAACAAAAATATAGAATATTACCAGCATTTATCTTTCAAAGTGTTTATAAATGTGCTCAGAAGACATATTAATATAAGAATACAACGTTATATTAGAAAACATGCATTATCTGTTTCTACACCAGTAACAGATGATTCATATGAGCAGTAAGTTATTAAAAAATGAATACATTTCAACTCTCCCTATATCTGCTTACAACTATAGTGGGTTATACATAATTTATAATTAATAATAGTGCTTAGAAAAAGTGTTTTAGGACACCATCTGAAAGCACAGCCCTGTGATCATAGATTATTGTCTCAAATAGAAACCCTCACTGATTCATTCTTATGCAGAAAAAAGATGGTTGAGAAATGAAGATGGCTTCCTGAGATGATAAAAGATGAGAGGCTTGCTATGAGTAACATAGCTAAGATAGTGTATAGATACAGTGGACGCTTCTAAAATATATATATTTAGCTGTAGGAGCTGTGGGTCGGGTGTTTTCTCAGCAGGCAAAGGATGACAATGTGTCTCATTTCGACTGAATCACACCAGGTTTCCATTTCTTTTGTTTATTATGGTGAAGGACTTTTGGCAGCTACAGCCTTATGCTGGTTAAGATTTATGTGACCGACATGACTCAATAGATGTTTGAAGCAAATTGTTCAGTTATTCGCAACACATGAGTAAATGTAAAAGGATAACAGAAAACATATTAAAGAATGGAGAAGAAGAAAGGATTAGAGAAGCAAGAGCATGAGATAGAAAAAGAGGGAGAAATAAATGGGTGGCTGGGAGACAATAGAAGAGGGGGATCAAAGATAAAAAAGCAAAAAAAGGCGAACAGGAGAAAGGGAAAAAAGGGAGAGATAAGAGGGGTAAAGAGGACAATTTCTCCTGCTCTCTTGTTGGTGTCTGTTCCCTCTGTTTTGGCAGTGTCTAAAGCAGTTGTGTGGAAGAGCCTCAGGGAAGTAAGACACAATGGCGCGCACACACACACACACACACACACACACACACACACACACACACACACA